GTCAGCCTTTTCCACCAAAATTGCCTTCACTCCACAGATTAGGAATCACTGTGTAGGACCCTTCCAGTTGCAGAATATGTATATTCAAATTAAGCATTCTGAAACAGGGAAAATAACCATATCGTGAGTTTAGAGCCCTCCTGGGCCCACTATGAAACATGTGAAATAAAATTATATTGATCTACCTAACTTCCAGGTCCCAGTGATATTTTCAGACTCTGGAAATTAGCATCAGTTCAAAGCCAGCGACCAGTGATCTGTGAAAATTCTGATGTTTCCCTTTTTACCCAATATGCAGTTATCCTGGTAAAAGGCCACATGTCCCTGTGGGGAGGTTGGTGAGAAAACTAACAGTACAGATCTTTGATCATGTATCAGGGTCCTTTCTCAAGGGATCTGGCTTCCCTTTATTCAAGGTTTATCGTCTGTTAACTGATTCAGTCTGGAAATTGACTGAGGGTTGTAACTCTCTCTGCTCTTGCAATTTGGTGGTTAGCACTTTGTCTCTTGAACTGGAAGCCACCTACTTAGATTAAGTCAGCACTGAGCACGCTTCCCATCTGATTCGCTTCTAGAGACACTACGATCAAGCAGCCTGCCCTGTAGCACTCCTTGAGCCAGAGCATTCTGATTGCTTTCTTGCCTGTTACCTATCATGACCACCACAGCCACCTTGACTTTGGCCGTGGAGTGCCACCAACTGGCCTCTGCCACGTGAGACCCTAATTACTACCATGTTGTTTAGGTCTCTCAACTCAGGGACAGCAGGTCCCTCTGGAAGTGCAATCAAAGATCATTTCAGGGCTGCTGAGGCTCCCCTTCCAAATTTATTTCTCACCAGCTTAGTGCAAGCTGTGTCCTCTGCATTCTGGAAGGCTGCGTGAGTCTGTCTTCAGTGACAAAGTCACATCAGTTTTAAGAAAATAGATAAGGGAGGCGTGTTACGGTTTTGATATAGGGAAATGAAACTCCCAACCTGAAAGATACCTTGGGCGAGTTCATGTTCTCTAAAACCAAACAATAAATTTTAGGAACAAATGGAGGTTAAGAGGTTAAGAGCACAATATTTATTGCGGGGAAAGAAAGCTTCTGTCCAAGGGAGGGACAGGAGGGGGACTGGAGCGGGTTAC